GTTTTTTGAACCAGTGACAACTGTAACTCAAAAACCGCTTACAAGGAGAACCCGCGCATTGGTCGTCTCGGATTTTGATGAAATTTGGCTCAGTTGTAGATTTTATGCCCAAACTGACCATGGTAAAACATTAGAGGCCTATGAAAAGCGGTTTAATTATAAAAATTAATTAAAGTTTGCATTTTAGCAGCGCGCTGTACCATAGCGCTAATTAAAAAAAATTTCTCTTGTATTAGCCAGTTTGCTTGCAAACCAAGCATATTGGATCATATTCTGAAAAATACGCGCAGATAACTGATGATGAATTAGAGAATGTATCCTCAAGGAATCTTCTCTTCTATTTAGTTCTCTTTCTAATTGCCTAATTTGGTAACAATTTTGAATTGTCTTCATAAATAACTTCACCTAATACAAGAGAATTTTTTTTTAATGTGAATCAAGTATGTTTTTCCGAAACGTGAATCAAGTATGTAGTTCCGAAACGTCGACAGTAAATAAATAAATAAATAAAGAAATTGTTTATTAAAAACTTTTCTTGTTTTTCTATTACTTTTGGATTCTTGTTCGAAACTCTACAAAATATACACAAATCCAAGATTCTACCATTCAATATCTTATATATAAAAATGGAGCTCTCTTTCAAATGTCCGAATAAAACTTGAAAACGGCTGAATCGATTTGGCCAGTCTTATTCTTGAAAAATTCGTGCCAATCCAGAGAAAGTCCAAAAGGTGAGAAATTATTTCAAATCCGCGTAGAAACTTTACAATTTAAATTTGAAAATTTTTATAGAAGCGTAATTTAAATAAAACAATCGACGGTGCCAATTTCGTGAAATGTCAAACGCTTTTGACAGATGATGTTCAATTACGTTTAATAGGATGTTTTACGCGAATATTATTTATTTATGATAAATTTGTAGTAAGTAGTTTTGTTTGTAGTTTTATTTATATACAAAAACGTTAGTAAACGGGCCGCAAGTGTTACTAGAGACTCAAAATATAAACTTTTTTGATATGTTAATATGAAAATGCACTTTTTGGCATATTTTTCTCAAACACGGTGCTCTGAAAGATCTCATTTCTATAATTAATTACTCATTGGTATTTATAAAGCATTTTCTAGGTTATATTATTTTTAATTTATCTTATTTAAATTCAGAACCTAAATTTGGTATCGATCAAATGGACATTTTGTCGAATAACATTTTTCCAATTATAATTTCCCAGAATTTATCGCAGAATAGATATTAATATATGAAGGTTCGGGATTAAAAAGGTCCACCACCGATGTGCCAAAAATCAGTAAAGTTAAGCATTGTTTAACAACAATATTTAAAAGTAGAGGAAAAAAGATGTATAGCCAGCTACAAACTTGATTTGAAAACGATAATCTTTGAAATGGGCGAGATAAACGGTAATCTTTGAAAATCCATAATAAAAGTATTTTCTTCCGTTAATCGTTTTAGCATTAGTTAAAAATGTAATTATTTGGTATAATACCTTTAAAATTATAATAAGGCTTTAAACCTTTTGCCACCTGCCCGTTACAAGTTACTCCTCATATAGGATAAAAAGGTCTAGGTAACAAATTTTTGAGGGATGTCAAAAAAGCACATTTCTACAATGATGAAGTAGAAGTCAGTTTACTGAACGTAGTCAGATAATTGTTCGTTTGATATGTGTTATTTGTTGTGATATAATTGTTATGGTTTTCACAATATAGTTTATATTTGCTCAAAGTCAAAATGGACCTTTGTGTCTCATCTTGCTCTACATATATACTTTTTATTAAATTTACTTTAATTCATCGAATGTAACTTGCAACTTTTCAAAAAGCAGGTCAAAGAAGAAATACTTAATTCATTTTTTATCTCTCCTCGCAAAAATTTGAAAATTTTGTATAAGCTCAGTAGTATTATTTACAATTATACACAAAATCCAGAATCCAAAAAGAATCTGAAAAACTTGAAACGTAATCAATATGTCGAAAGATCAAAAAAGACTTAGATTGGATTATACGATGTTTTCTATAGAAAGTGTATAAAACTTGCAGTTGGATTGTATTGACAAAATATAGACCAATTAATGGGGTTTATTGTTTTTATAATACCTCATTATATATACCATTCAAACAACACATCATTATGCACTTAAAGTATTAATATTTTTGATTCTCTAGAAATGGTTTAGAATATACCTTATTTAGCAAAACAACGTTTGCCGGGTCAGCTAGTATATATATATATATACAGTAGAATCCGCTTAGTATGACATCGAAGGGACGCCGAAATCTCGTCATACTAACCGGTCGTCATACAAAGCATACTGAAGAAAAACTTTTTAATATGTATATATGTTACATGTTTCAGTAATTTAAAAGAAAAGCCTATACATACATTTTAATTAAAAATAAAAATGACACATTAAAATTTAATAAAGTAGGGCGGGGCACAAAGGTCCAATTTGACTTTCAGTAATTATACTCTCTAAACCCAATGATCAACCTTGCAACACATAACACATCAAACAAGCATCTATCGAACTATGTACAGAAAAAAATTCACATAATTCTTAATTATATAAATATTATTTTTTTACTATTTTTTTAAAATTTGGTATCTTACTAACCATTTTACCTGACATACGGGGTAAAGTGGGACAATCAGGGGGCAAACAGATGCAATTTCTTCTATTAAATTTTAAAGGGATTTTACGCTACATTATTGAACCAATGCAAAATATTAATTATGTATATATATATATATATATATATATATATTAAACTTATATTTATGTATTAAAAAAATAATTATTATTATTATCGAGTGAACTCCGAGTTCGAACACGTTGGGTGTATCCACGTTGGGCTCGGATGGAACGAACCCATAAGTGATTGCGCTCAAACATATTCAATTTGCAGTCGTTTTGCCTTACTATACTAAGTCACAATACGAAAAAAAATGTTTAGAAGTTTCATTGTGTCAAAAATTCATATGTTTGGTATTGGGTACGGAATATTTACTCAATGGAGCGCTTTCAATGGAGCGTTTGGAATTTTGGAATTAGGTTCATCTTACTCTTAAGTTCAGAAGTGAAAACAATTTAGACTCTTTTGCCACTTCTCGGGAGGATGACATTTCTTTTCAGTGGTGTAATTTTACTTTTTTCAAAATAACGTTGGGTATCGCTAAAAGAACTAATTATAATAGAAAAATGTTTAATAATGTTTTTCAAAAAAACAAATACGTTTCAAGTTACTAGCATGTTACTAGCTACTGAAAATTTGTTTCTTTTTTGCGTTTTTCATCATTTTTTGCTAATATCTTCAAAAATATACATTTTAACGAAAATCATGTAATGAACAAAATTATATCAATTAAAATCTTAATAAATCGCTATTTTATAGTGTTTTAGAAACTTTATTAGGCTAGATATGAAAACGGGTTTTTATAGTGCTCAAAATAAGCTTTAAAATGAGTACTTCTGCGTGTAAAATGAGTAAACTAGCATAAAAGACGCATACAATGTTTTTTCATTTAAATCGAATAGTTTGAAAGCCATTTCCACCAAAATTAAAAATAATCGTATTCCATCTAGAATTAACTTGGTTTAAGAGATCTTGATGGATTCTAAAAAATACCACAACTTTAGTACAAACGATTTTCAAAAAACTCATGATTTAAAAGAACAACCAATTTCTCATTATAATATCTCTGAAAGAATACGTATAAAAGTATATATATATATATATATATATATATATATATATATGAAAATTCGAGGTACTTTTCTGACTAATTATTGTTGTTTATTATTTTTCCGTTACACAAATATTGATAGAGGTATGATTAATTAAGAAGTGCGCGGCTGTCCAACCAGAGGTCTTTCGAGCCCTTTAACCGTTCGCCGTTTTACAATAAGAGAAAATACGGTAAAATTTATGATAGAGTTGTAGCTCATTTAATCACCTTTAAAATAGTGTATTACAAGTTCTGATAAAATCAGAATTAAAAAAGTAATAATCCAATTAATGCGGTGGATGGTGACGGTGACGTGCAAATTATTTTCACTTCTGAACTTAAGATAAAGATTAGCCTATTTCCAAAATATCAAGTAAATTGGAGCACAGTAAAAAAATTCACAGAGCAACAAATTTGTTGATCGTAGGTTGAATAGAGCACATGTGAACAGGATTAATTAATTTGTCAATTAATTCATTTCAAATATGAACTTAAGTAACAATGTATATTGAATTATTAGTGAGAAAAATGTAATTTAGATATTTAAATACTAGAAGCCAGTTAAAATATGGTACGAAATTATAACAATTATAGGCAACATTATTGAAGTAATTATTTTGGGTAGAAAAATCTAAGGTGATATTGTACCTTTACTGCGCATGCTATATATTAATTTTTTCTGAATTTGTTAAAAGATTTCAATTTTCAACACGTGTATCTACGATATTACAATAAATACATCACAAAGACAGATGATGATTTTTGTGTGATAAATTTGGAAAATCAATGTTTTAGTCGTGAAAAAACAAAAAATCATTTATCATCTACAGGTATGAATAAAAAAAACTATATAACCCTTAAATGCAATAAAATAAATTGAGCTATTGAAAATAAATTGGTCTATAAATCACAGTGTATAATTTTCAATAGACAATTTTATTGAACATTTTTTAATATTTGATAAATGGAAAATTAAAGTGTTAACTGTGGGAATTGAGAATAATCATTTTATTTGAAACAGTTCTACATTCAACATCACTCATATATTGGTGTAAATAGTAATGCTAAAACCAATAAATGATTATTTTTAACTGAACGGTATAAATATTACTATAAGATATTAAAAAAACGTGGATGTGGGTACAGGACAACGTCTGTCGGGTCATCTAGTATATAAATATATATATATATATATATATATATATATATATATATATATGTGTGTGTGTATACAGGTATTTAATTTAAATAACATTACCTAAGAACTCATCTTCTAAGCCATGAACTAAAGCTCCGCAGGCTCCACTGCCCATAAGACTTACTGAATCAGCACTAATTTTCTCTTTGGGTGCATCTTCGCCCCATCGTTTTCCGGAAGACCATTCGCCACTTGAAACTATTTCCTTGGCTCTTTCATGAGCACTGCGTTTTTTCTAAATTTAAATAAGTAAATAATTTAATATAATATTATATAAAGTTGTTCTTAAGAATCCATCTAATAATTAAATAAGTTTAGGAAACATATCTTTATATGTAGTATCAAACATTTCGGTTCCTCATTTGACCCATCTTCAGTGCTACTTTAAAATATTTCTTGGTTACAAGTTAAAAATAGATATAAAAAATTAAAAATTTACAAAAATATAATTATAAACATGTGAAATAGAATAAATCTAAATAATTTGATAATAATTTGTTGATTTAACAAAAATATATAAATAACATAAACGTAGACTACAAAACTAAAAATAAATAATATGCAATAACTCATCATACAAATAATTTAAAGAAAAACACAGAAAAAACACGAAAAAAATATGTACTACTAATATGTAATACAAAACTAAAAATAAATAATATGCAATAACTCATCATACAAATAATTTAAAGAAAAACACAGAAAAAACACGAAAAAAATATGATACACCAATTAATATAACAACAAGTTATATGACAATTACTTTTTCAAAAATATTAAATAAACTAGTGGAGCACATGACATCGTGCTTTAAGGCAAATTGCTGGAATTTCCCGTAGCGAAATGTTCCAGGAATATTAAATGTTTTCAAACAGATTATTATAAATTCTGTAATATCGTTAAATATTTATAAGAATTATATAAACTGAATTGCAAAGTTGAAATTATTTGTTTAAAGTATATTAAAACTTTAGTCAGAATTAAAAATAAAATCTGAATTATTTTCGATATACAAAAAAATTATTTGACAAAAAAACATTGAAAAAAAAATTGAAACAAAAATTATTTTTTTCCAAAATCAATTATTTTATTAAAACAAGCAGAAAGTTCTTTGAATCATTCAAATCGGACGCTTAGTTCTCTCAAAAACTGACATTTTTGCACATTTAGCTCTGTATCTTCGAAATGGCTGGGCCTGCCTCTGCCAAAAACTAATAACCACTTCTCCCAATCATTACTAATTGAATGTTTTTTAGATCATTCAAATCAGATGCTCCGTTCTCTTAAAAACTCGATTTCTATTTTCTGCACTCTTTGCTCTTTATCTCCGTAACTGCAGAATCTGCCTTTGCCAAAAACTAATCAGCACATCTCCCTATCAATAGGAATCGAATGCTTTTTGGACCATTCAAATCGGTTGATCCGTGCGCCCGAAAGCGTGAACGAAAAAATGCGCACACACAAAATACACACACACACACACACACATACACACGAACACACGAACATCCATTTTTTCTGAGGTATGCCGAAATGTTCAGAAACCTTCAAAACGTCAAAATGCAAACGTTTTCAATTTCGATTTTTGGACGATTACAATAACTTACCCTACGGGAAGTTAAAAAAATAAAAATAATAATAAATAAATAGAATTCTGTATTAAGGCAATTAGGGCATCGTGCCTTAAGGCAAATTGCTGGAACTTCCCGTACCAAAAATTATTGTTTTTTTAAAAACGATTAACATTTTTGACAAAATTTTACTTAAAAAAAAATAGATTTTTGAGAAACTATAAAATAGACAAAAAATTACTTTTTTTTGAAAAAAAAAATTTTTATTTGAAAAAAAAAAAAATTTTTTTTTTTGAGAAAAAAAATTATTTTTTCAAAACAAAAAAATTTTTTAAAAAAAAATGTTTTCTTCATTTTGACATATTTTGGAAATTTTGAACTTTTTTCAAAGCAATCGCACTGCTTGAACTGCATAGAGACGAAATGTCAAAGCTCGCAAGTGCCGCGCCGCCGTCTAACGCATAAGCATTGGTACGGAACCCATAGAAATGTAAAAAAAATATACTTATTGTTAAAATCTCTATAAAATATCTGATAATTTGATGTTCATATGTCTAATGATCATTTTTAACCGCCCAATGGCATTTTTTTTTACTTTTTTCATTAGATCTCCGAAACCGCTAGACCTGCCTCCATGAAAATTTGATCAATTATACATCTTGTCAATACAAGTAAAATGTTTTTTGAATTATTCAAATCGGACGCTCCGTTCTCTTAAAACGGTACCGTTTTTGGCACTTTTTGCCCCGTATCTTCGGAACGGCTAGACCTGCCTTCGCCAAAAACTAATCAGCACGTCCTTATCAATACGAATCGAATGTTTTTTGAATTATTCAAATCGGTTGATCCGTGTTCCCGAAATCGTCGACGAAAATTTGTATCCGCACATACATACACACACGTACATACATACACACACACATACACACACACACACACATACATCCATTTTTTCTAAGGTATGCCAAAATGTTCAGAAACCTCTGAAACGTAAAGATATATAAAAATTTTCATTTTCGATTTTTTTGCGATTACTATAACTTGCCCTACGGGAAGTTAATAAATGAAAAGACTTAAAAAAGCTCCGAGATAGAGAGGGGTATTAGTGGCGCCAAGGACGCGAAAAGTGCGGTAAAGTTACGAAGTAGGAACATACATAATAAATCATTAATACTCTGAACGCGAACAAAAACTTGTAACCAAAATTATTATTTCAGCATGTTTTCACCACACAAGTGTTGTCATAATTATTATTTTTAAAAATTTAATTCAAATTTGCCTCATTGTTTAAGTGAGCCCGAAGTAATAAAAAGAAAGCCGACTGTTTTTTCAAACCCAACAATATCGACAACAGTAAGTAACAGACAAGAAAAAGTAAAAAACTGACATTTGGCGGTCCAAAATGATCATTAGACATATTCACTTCAAATTATCTGATATTTTCTAGAGATTTTAATAATAAGAACAAATTTACATTTCTTTGGGTTCCGTATCAATGTCTATCCGTTAGACTGCAACGCGACGCTTACAAGCTTCGATATTTCGTCTCCAAAACAGCTGCGCAGCGTGATTGGTTTGAAAAAAAAAAAATTACAAATTTTCAACAAATTTCAAAATGTAAAAAAACATTTTTTTCATAAAAGTCATTTTTTCTCAAAATTGTCGAAATTCTCAAAAATATATTCTTTTCAGATTTCAAAAAAATTTAAATCTTTTTTAAAAAATTTATGTTTTGGTACGGGAAGTGCCACCAATTTGCCTTAAGGCACGATGCCATGCACCACTAGTTTATTTGTATTAATTTATGAAAACTACTATTTGACTGACTTATAATTGAAAGGGCGGCAATCTGGAGATCGCCCCGGGCGGCAAAAGTTCTAGGTACGCCACTGTTGTAAACAAATACTTTTCCAAATTGTTGGAAACTTGCACGATTAGTCCTAACTTATAAACAAGGTGATCATCAAATATTACTAATTAAAGACCAAAATCACTATTGTCAAACTTTGCTAAAGTATTTGAACAAAATATGTATAGAGAAATAATTCCATCTGTGAAATTTTTAATTTCTACAAATCAACATGAATTCATGCCTGTTCTACAATTACTTATCTAATCTCTATTAAACAGTTTATAGCTGAGAATCTTGACAATAATGGACAAGTTGATGTTATTTACACTGACTTCAGTAAAGCTTTTGACTAAATTGATCATAACATTCTTCTTACTAAATTATCTGAGATTGATCTTAGTTCTTCACTTATTTATTTTTATAAAAGTTATATCTTCATAATCGTAAACAATTTGTCTATCTTAACGGATTTTTGAGCAATTTTGAAAATGACAGCTCAGGTGTTCCTCAGGGATCCATTCTTGGTCCACTACTATATATTATCTTTATTACAGAAATTATTAGTTGTCATCTAGTGATTGCAGATCATCTCCAATTATGTCTCAAAATAAATTCTATTGATGACTGCTTTTTACTGTCATCTCAACTTAACTCATTTCACTCTGGTGTGTCTATAACAAATTGCATCTCTACGATAAACCGTTTAATTTAAAATATTCGTCAAAGTTTGAAAAAATTAGAAGCGTTTTTTTGGCGTTTATTCAAAAACGCCTGAACCAATTTCAAAAATTTAAAAGCCATTGGATGTATCTCGATGAGGACTATCGTTTCTCAGTTTTGTGCGACGATCAAACGGCTATGCCGATTTTTGTATCACTTCACTCAATAAGTACGTAGGTTAACTAATTTTTTGTCAAATTTATTTTATTTTATTCAATATAATTTTATACTGATTTTAGCGAAATTCGAACTTTTTGAAACCATTTTTGTAGTACTATTAGTACTTTGCCATAATATTCGCCTATCATCACATCATTTGGCAAAAATTTTCTTCACAGCGAGCATTCTTTGGAGATCTAAGAACAAATCTAGAGAATGTAGTATGTGAAAAAGCAATTCAAAGCCCAATTCATGCTTTTTTGCCACTATTTTCATGGATTTGTGATTTGTGCGTTGTCCTGATGGAGCAGCAGTTTTTCTTTTTCAAATGGGGCCATTTTTCCGATTACGTTTTTCCAATACTCCAATAACGTTATACAATAGTCACTGTTGATGGTCTGATCTTTCTCAAGATAGTTGATGAACTTCATTACATATGAATCCGAAAAAACTGAAGCCATAAGCTTGGCAGATGATTGTTTGCATTTTTCTCGTCATATCGTCATCGTGTCTAGTCCACTCGGCTGACTGTCTATTTGACTATTCCTATTCCGGAGTGTAGCGGTGAATCCAAGTCATATTCATGGTGACAATTTGATGCAATGGCTCAGTTTTATTTTGATTAAACAGCTCCAAATACTCTTACGAATCATTAACTCGTTATGATTTTGGTCAAATGTGAGTTGGCGTGGCACCCATTTAGCACAAAGGTTATTCCTATTAAAATATTCGCGAACGATATATCAAACATATGCTATTGATATCTTTGAGGTGTTAGCTGTCTCAGGCATTTTTATTTTTTAGTTTTCCAGAACGATTTGGTGGATTTTTTATGTTTTCCGATGTAACCACCACAATTGGCCTTCCAGAGCGTTCAGCATAGTCAGTGTTTTAGTCCGAGAGCCAGTAACAGATTTATATGACCAAGTTCAT